ATATCTGCGGAAGTGGGAGGCCGATTTGGCTACTTCATTTAGCCCTCGACAGCGAGATATGATGGTTCATTTTGCACTTAAATGTTCGATGGCCAATAAATTTCAGGAACAGGGATATAAGATCCTCTCTAGGTGGTACAGGGTCCCACACGTCCTCCACAAGATGAACCCTACCATTCCGGCAATGTGCTGGAGATGTGGTTCGGAGGTGGGCACAATGCTACACATATTCTGGAGCTGCCCACTCCTGACTAGGTTCTGGGTGGGAGACACCGGAGTTGGTACTGAGTCCGGAGGTTTTTGCTACACATGTCGCGACGCAAGTATAAGGCATCTCTGTCAATCCACCTACTCAATGCTGCCAAAGCATGTGTCCCGGCCCTCTGGAGGTCGACCCAGACCCCATCACTGCGCCTCTGGTTCACAAAGGTCAATGAGATTAACCAGCCACTGTCCACAATACTGAGGAAAGATTCCGGGACACTTGTAGAGCGTGGACGCACTTCACCACGACTGACCCGTACCGGCAAACCATGACTCCGGGTGGTGGCCCTTAGGTGCGGCGTCTCGTAGGGGCGCCACATACACTAGATCAATGTAAGCTAATCGCCCTGTTCAGGGCTACCTGGTCTCCAATTTCACCCCGAGGGAGACTTGGGGGTTGGCAAGAGTCCTCTCCCTTCCTATACCTTACCCCTCTACCTTATACCTTTATTTTCAACCTAGGTAATGCCTTTTCCTTTTCCTCCAGTTCTACGCCTCTAGTAGATCCTGTTTTGAACGATTCGCTCAGCGATTAAAAGTTAATCGGTGTGTTGTCTCCGAGTGCGGGGGCCCGAGCTCCTAGTTTTGTATGCCCCTATGTTTCACATGTGCAACCAAACTCTATCGGAGTGGGTTTAGTCTGGAGGGCACTGCCTTTGTTTACATCGGGGAGCGGCTCCCAAACTCGGTCGCAATCCAGAGTTTGCTACTGTATGAATACGTGCCAAATATAGTGCAGTATGTTACTCGCAGACGTGACATGGTCGCACCAGGTTGTTGAGACCGGAACACTTTTGATACGCTATTGTGCCTTGATGCGATGCTGATGTTATTTTTTATTTTATTTTATTTTTTTTGTTCTCCTGTTAATTGATGTTCAACTACTGGCTGCCTGCGTGCAGGCCTTAATGATCACCTTACATGTAAACATTTACTTTTGTTCAATAAACGTACGATTATAGAAAAGAAAAAAAGTAAAACATGTTTGACAAAAAATGAAGCCTAATAAATAATTTAACCCCCCCCCCAATGTTTTCCAAAGCCCCCCAAGACAAGCGTAAACAACATGTGTGCCACAAATATTGGGCATCACTGGGCATGCCGGAGTGAGAGCAAAATTTCTAAGGCCATTAATCACAGTCAACTCTACATGATGAGTTGTAAAGGCTTTTAAAATATCGCTTATGAAAAATTTGGGGTACTGTAGTTTTTCACCCCATTGCTGGCACACACAGTTTTGAGGCTTGACATATTTACAATCTATTTACTATATACATCTTCATTATTCTATACATCCCTATACTCTATACATCTTAATTATTCTATACATCCCTATACTCTATACATCTTCATTATTCTATACATCCCTATACTCTAATGAAGATGTATAGAGTATAGGGATGTGTAGAATAATGAAGATGTATATTCTACACATCCCTATACTCTATACATCTTCATTATTCTATGCATCCCTATACTCTATACATCTTCATTATTCTCTACATCCCTATACATCTTCATTATTCTATACATCCCTATACTCTATACTGTACATCTTCATTATTCTATACATCCCTATACTCTATACATCTTCATTATTCTACACATCCCTATACTCTATACATCTTCATTATTTTAAGAAAAAAGTGGGCATTATATTGTGTTTATGTGCACTAACATTAATTGAGTGTATGTTTTACTGAAAATATGTCCACATAGTAGGTACGGTTGATTTATGACACAGGTGCATCTAGTTCAACCTATGTATATGTGTGTAAGTATGTAAGTATGTATGTACAGTATGTATGCATGTATATGCTTGACTCTAGTAGTTCCGATATCCCTGTATATTTAAGAACTCAAGAAACTCATCTAAATGTTTCTTGAATTTATCAACGCTATCAGCAGATACAACTGACTGTGGAAGAGAATTCCACACTTTTACTACTCACACATTGAATAACCCCTTGCAAAGTCTGAGATTAAACCTCCTCTCTTCTAATCTCTTGCTGTGTCCTTGTGTCATTAGTTCTTGGTATAGTTAAGGAACGCCAATGCCGTCCCCTCCGTCTTATATTTTATAAATGTCGCTCTCTTGCCGTTGACGTGTTGTTTTACAGTTTTATTAAACCATATTGGTTTAGTCTTTGATCTTTTGCTTTTGCTCCCTAAAAGGTATACACTTTGAAGTAGCAGTATGTAGTATGTTTTTAAAACAATCCCACATCCCACAAGCTGTGGCCATATTGCCATATAATAAAAGGCACTTAACTGGTAGCTGCATTGTCACTTGAGGCTCCATTCACACCTGAGCGGCTGTCCGCGCGTATTTGGCTGTACGATAAGTGCGGAGCTGCTCTTAAAAGAGGATACACTGCAATTTACTGTGCATTGTTCAGACTATTGCGGGGACCGCACGGTACGAAACTGCGCGGCCCCCGAAATAGTGCAAGCACGATAATCCAGAGGATTTCCGCACGTTCACGGCTATTTAAAAGCCGCAAACAAGCGGCATCCGTGTGGATTTAAAATGTTAGCGTTTTCGTCCCGCGCGCAAATGCTATATGTGAATGGAGCCTAAAACATCACATCACTGGCTGGACTCTATAATAGACTTGTGCGATTCGTTTCGTTCCGAATCGAAATTCGGACGAATTTTCGGAAATTCGGCCATTCGGATGTATCCGAATTCCGAATTACAGACATAACGAATGCAAACGAATCCGAATTTCCATAGCGTTAGTACGAACGTTCGTTTCGTTTTCTGTTCTTATTCGTTTCGTTCGTTGGAGCAAAGTGACATTAGAGGAGGAGAAAAATATTTTTTCCCCCTCAAATGTCACTTTTGCTGCAAACGAACGAACGAAACGAATAAGAAACGAATAAGAACAGAAAACGAAACGAACGTTCGTACTAACGCTACCGAATTTCGTCCGAATCCGTAATCCGAATTGACTTTCACACCAGAATCCTGAAAAACGAAATAACACAAATCCGAATTTAAAACGAAACAAAACTAAACACATTTTTTGGCAGTGCACATGTCTACTCTATAATAGATGTGCACTGAGGGTCACAGCCTCACATAAAACGAGGTGTTTGAGGAGTGAGCGTGTGATATTTTTGTCTGGCGAATTCTTTGCTATTGTTTTTAATTGTGTTGCTCATGTAAATTAGCATGGCCCATGGATTCTTTACACCATCACCAGGTAATGACACCTCACACTATTATATCTGTAGTTGTTCTAGAAAGGAAGAGCCACATTAGGCTACTTTCACAAAGGTTTCAGGCACCAGGATAAGAAACCATATTTGGAAAAAGTGAGTTATTTCCAGCTGAGTCCAGCAAAGTTTGAAAGTAACTGTCACATGGATATCATAACGATCCTTATCCTTGAGTTAAAGCTTTGTGAATAGACCCTGATGGGGTTGAATTACTATAGGAGTAGAACTTTTTAGCTGGCCATACACCTTACAACCATCGCACGACTTCCGTTGTGCGATGGTTGTAAGGTCATTCAAATTTGGTACGACCTGCCCATCTTGGACAGGCAGATCGTACTTGAAATTATCGCCAGCCCTCCCCTTGTCGATGATTGCAATGCTGAGCGGGCAGTGTGCGCTTGCGCACACCGGCCCGTGCGGCTTTCGTCTTCCGAGCACGCTAACAATCTGCCGAAAATCGTACAATTTTCGGCAGGTTTTCCAGCGTGCTAGGAAGACGAAAGTAGTGTGACCTACAGTAGATGCGGTCGCACGCCCTCCATACACCTGCTGATTATCGTACGATCGCGGGTGACCGTACGATAATCGGCAGGTGTATGGGCACCTTTTCACTTAGTTTAGTAAATGAGCTCTGCTGATTTCAATCATCCAATCATGTGTGAACATAAATCCTGTATTGTTTCACTTCCCTCACACATGACTGGATGTTTTAGTAAAGTGATATGGCTAAAATAAAGATTATTTCTGTATACTGTACTGTATATAGAATGCACATCTATGGCCTCTATTCACCTTATTACAGATAATAGAATTCAGTAGTAACTGCTAAAGGGGGAAAAGAGGCCATAGATGTGCATACATACTTAAGGGCATTTATCAAAACTGGAGCAGACAAAACCTGGAGCAGCTGTGTATGCCAACCATCTTCTCTCTTCAGTTTGTTCAGTTAAGATTTGAAAATGAAAGAGAGATGCTGATTGGTTTCCATGGACATCTGCTCTGGATTTTGTCTGCTCCAGTTTTGATACATTCCCCCATTGTCTATATACAGTATATTCCCCCATTGTCTATATACAGTACACAGAGTGAAATGGGAATTTCAATGTACATCACATACATGCATAGAAATGAATTTATCTAAATCGGAGCAGACAAAAACAGGAGCAGATATGCACGGCAACCAATCATCTTCTATCTTTCATTTTCAAATTGTAACTGAACAAATTGAAGAGAGAAGCAGATTGGTTGCCATGTGCAAATGCTCCAGATTCTGTCTGCTCCAGTTTTGATAACTTCCCCCCACATTGTGTATATACAGAACATAGAGTGACATGGGAATTCCAATGAACATCATATATGTACAGTATATGTTGTGTTATCAGTAGTAGCAGCAGAGAGGGAATTTGGGGTTCTAAAACAGAGAAACAGACTGCAATGCCATTCCATGAGATAGAAAAACACCTGTGTGAACAGGCTCTGATGGAAGTAACCATCCCTTAACTCAGACACCACATACTTGTTCCAAGTTTATTGTCTTAGAAATAGAATTTAGCACACGAGTAGCTAATGCAACTTTAAGTCTTTTTACACAGTTGGAATTTTCAGCTAGCTCATTTCCCTTGTTGGGCTGAAATCTGATTGGTCACTTTGGGGATATAACTGTAATTTTTATACTGACAGTTTTTATGCAGAAGATCCTAATGATTTGTATATTTCCTTTATTTCTGGTTACAGAGGGAACACCTGCTGGCCTGAGGATGGATGTTTTTACAGCTGGAACCACCATTGGCTACGAGATGGATTCTTCTTCTATACCGACTCCTGATGTTGGTGAGTATGAGCTTCTTATTGAATCATACAATAAGTGTAAGATTGGTTCCTCAAACTGGCCTGCCAAGGAAGAACATTAGAATCATTTCATCCAACCTCTGATCAAATGCTGATCACACATTACAATGTTTTTTTTTCAGACTTTGAATATATTGCAGAGGTGTCTAAGACCCTCGATATGGCTTTGCGATCTTCAGGTAATTTAATATACTGTAATTGCAATATACTTAATACAGGTAAAACAAAATGAAAGTGGAATTCCAACTAAAATTTTTCTTTTGGATAGACAAGGGTATGATTACAACTTGTCTCAGGTATTGATGTTGTCTGCATCTCTGATAGGGAAATTTATCCTCACTTCCTTTCATTTCACAGAGGCAGGGAGTGAGGGGAAGTCTCTAAAATAAGACACAAACAGCATTAAGAAGACCTTCTTCCCAGAAATGTGGGGAAGCGTTAGAACCTGTTACATTTGTATGGCCCTCTCTCTAATTCCTCACTTCCTCTCCAGGTGTCACTGGTACAAGGAAACAGACAACAATATAAACTACCAGGGGTTCTAACTCTATGTACCAGTCTATCCAGAACTTAAGGTTTTGTATTGGCGTTCCACTTCAATGCTATCACTAATTATTCTTTCAAGAGAATGTCTTTACTAAATGTTGCACTTTCTCTTTTTTCATCAATAGACTATGATAACAGGTCATCTGATGAAGAGTCTTTGGAGCCAAGTAATTTTACTATACTGTAATAATAACAATTTAAGTGCACCTATCGTTAGTTAAAAAGTAAACAGTATGATAGATTTAGCACAGAGGCGCTTCCCGCTTTAAATTGAAATATCTCCATTTTCCATATATATAAACAACTTTTATAATTACATGCTATTTTAAGTGGGGGGCGGGGGGAAACTTCCTTTAGCTCATATATGTGTTTTTTTTCAGATTTGGATGAAGGATCATTGAATCCCTCCAATATTCAAGGTAAGATTAATATTAGATTATAGCCAATAGTGTTGAAGCAAAATTCACTCCAGGATGAACTGTGCCGCAATGCACACTCCTTCAAGCGTTGAGCTGCTTTATATTAGGTATCCCTCAATTCATAAACATTTATGTCCTGCTCCATTTTTTTGCAATGCAACTTACACATGTAAAGCGGGTGCATTCTGGAGATGCATTGATTGGCCCCAAAAATTGTTTACCGCTTTCCCAAAAATGGAAAAAAAGCATTACCTGGGGTTCCACTTTAAATTTAAATCTTAAACATCTATATATCCTATCCAGATATGTACAGTATATAAGTGCTATCACTTTTGCTCTTCTTTCTCCTTCCCTCTTTTTTCAGATGTTCCGATTTGGTTGCTATCACTCATCCTGGTGGCTATCTCCGGAATCCTTATTGTATTAGCAATGGGCTGTTTATGCCTTTTACGCACCTAGTAAGTATCTACACAGAAAAAATCTTAACTCCAGCCAAACCTTTTTTAGCATTAGAAAGTATGATGAATCCAGTCAGATCCAGTCTGTCCTATCAATGCCTGTTCGAGTGACAATCTGTGATACTACATGTGCCCCTCATCCAGTATTTCCAGGTTCTTTCCTGTAACAACTTGTGATCCTATGTGGTCCCCTGATCCAGCACTTCCAATAACAACTTGCGGCACTATGGCGGCCCCTGATCCAATGCTTTTAGGACTGTACCTGTCGCAAACTGAAATATCCTGATCCAGTCCTGGTGAAAACCTGTGATCTTATGTGGACCCCTAATCTTTTACTTTAGACTTGTGCTTGTGATGACCTGGGCCACTGAGTTAGTACTTTCAGGCCTGTCCCTGTCAGAACCTGAGATACCACATGGGCCTGTGACACCAGGTGGGCTTCTGATCCAGTACTTTCAGGCCTGGCCTGCTGTTTCCCCATCACTGTATTTGCTGCTGTCCATATTCTGTATTATCCATTTACTACAGCCATCTTTTTTTTTATTGCAGTCTGAACCATCGATCAAGAATCGATAAGATAATGCCGGTTCTAGAGTCCGTGATTATCGACAATAGGGAAATCAAGGAGGAGCGCAAACACCATTTCGTTCCATCTCATGAAGCGCTAGGAGAAATGATGGATGAGATATTGGAGGAGAAGTAAGAAAGATTATTTTCATTTAAATATACATCCCACATCCACACAATAAGTTTTACATTTATACCCATTAATGAAAACATGTTTGAATGAAAAATGGTTATTATATTTAGCTAACTGCTCTTTTTTTATCTCAATTAAATCCAGCAGTGATTCGGAGTAGTGCTGCCAGACTGGAAAGTACCAGACTGCCAACTCAGGGCTTGTTCACACCATCGACAAACCAATGCGTTTTTTTATCCACACCAAAAATGCAAGGGTGTTCATTACGGCTACTTCACACCATTGCTGTCAGTTCCAGAGCTTTCAAAAAAATCACAGCAGCGTGCTTTTTTTTTCACACCGGAACATATAGTAACGCATGTAAACGCACCAGAACGTGCCTAAACTCAATGTAAAACCATTTTAAAAAAACCTCACTGGATTACATAAAAAAGAATCAAAAATTAACCCGGAACGTCCAGGTCATGGTGTGAACAAGCCCTAAAGCACACACCAAATACATAAGAAATGCAGAGCCGTCAGACAACGTGATGTCATCAGCACTGCAGCAGCTAGAAGCTCTCCAGATATAACCAGCAACCTAATGAAAGAAGCGGCTCCTGCGAATTATATCGATCAACCATACAAAACATCAATACAATTAAAAAAACATCAGTTCTTGTGTTATGCGATTACATTGGTGATACATTGGAGAACATTATTGTGGTTGTCTTTATACTGAGGAAGATATCTTAGGGTTGATTTCGACCTGTCAATTTACCTAGATTTCTTGGCCTTACTGTTCTTGACATGATTGATCTGTTAATATTCCTGGCTATGTTAGGTTTTCTAGTGACAGGGTGGAATGAAAAGGTGGTGGTGTCTGCTTCTATGTCAAAAGGGATTAAAAAGCAAGTGTGAAAGAGGACCTTGATGGAGAGTGTGATGATGCTGAGGCATTATGGGTGAAATTAATTATTGGAGTGTGATACAGCCCCCCCCCCCTTATTAAAGGAGAACTATGAGGTGAGTGATTTTCACTCATCCTCATAGTTCTAGCCGACCTGTGACAATGAAACTGTCACAGGTCGGCTCAGTAGATCGAGAAGTGAGCGAACACATACCGGCGCTCACGCACTTCTCGATCCTGTCACTGCAGAGAGCCGTGACGGGAGGGACTGGATCCCACCCTCCCCTGTCCGATCCTCGAGCGCTGACTGGCGGAACGGACGGGGGAGGGGGCGGGTACAGCTGTCTCTGCCTCTAGATAGGCAGAGCCAGCTGTCACTCACGCAGCTGGGTGGATCCAGACATAATTGTCGGGATCCGTTTCAGCTGCGGCGTCTCAGTATAGCAGCTCGCAGTATACTGAGCTTTGGGTGACGGGAGGACGCTAGTTTGTGTCCTCCCGTTACCCTTAGGAGAACTATGGGGAAAAGCCCTAACCCCATAGTTCTCCTTTAATGAGGAGGTAGAGACTCAGCTTGTTGCAAAGATAGAAATGACTGCAGCAAACATATTTTCTTTTTACTTCAATTTCTATATAAAATATCTGGCATCAGTAGTCAGAAAAATGAAATAAATTCCCAATTGCCAGGGACCATTGTTCAACCAGAAGGAAAAATTGCCCGGCTTTGGTGGTCAGTGGAAGAAATAATTTTAAAAAAAAGCTCAGTACCAGTGGTCAGAGGGAGGAGAAACTTCCCAGCGTTGGTGGCCTTACCAGGGCTGTGCGCAAATTCTCACCAGGCCTTGCTGGGGTTGTGCAAGTGTCGGACGGGTGCAGGCAGTGGGAAGGAGATATGGGGCCAGCACTGTCAACAGCCGCCGCGAGGTCCCCAGCAAATGCAGGACCTTACGGCACCTGAATGCATTAGAGAATTTAAAGCACCGGGGCATTTTCATGAATATTGTGGGAGAAGTTTATATAGCTTCTCTCTATTTCTGCAGCTGTCAATAGGGTGTTTTCTGAGGAGTTTGGGGCAGAGCACTATAGCGCGGATAATCATTTGTTTTGCCATTTTCATGAGTACTCGTGAAAATCTCCCGTACCGTACCTATAATGATACTGGTATCGGTGCATCCCTAGTTCTCAGTGGGGAAAGATGGGGCCTTGGTGCTCATTGGGGAAAGGGGGGCTAATGGTGCTCAGTGGGGGAAGAGAAAGGCACAGATGCTTGGTGGAGGAAAGCAGGGACATTGGTGTCAGTGGGAAACATCAGTTTGGTGCTTTGCTTACCGTGCTGCTCTGCATCCTATGTTGCTGCCTGCCAGAACTATATTGCTCCTGTTGGGCAGTAGATCACTCCGCCCAACAGAGCAGCAAAGGATCCAAAGCCAGGAGCTGGAACGAGCATTCCAGCAGCGGGACACAGATTTAAGTCAAGGAACCCCAGGATTGTGTTAAAATCCTGGGACTGGATTTGACTGCAAAAGGTGGAAATACGCTTTAAGCCCTGAAAAATTGGTAATTTGCATTGGCTGTTCCATGTCATCTTGTTTATGAATTAAAGGACTTTTACTTTGAATACACCTGCTGGTACACCTGAAGAACAATGTATACTGTAATACCGAGAAAATTGTAGTGGAAAAAGCAATTTGAAGTGATGTAGAATGTTTCAGCTTTATTTGATGCCCACAGCAAAATCGGTGGCCATCTGGTCATCCAGGGAGCAGCAGATGGTGGCAGAGGATCCCAGAAGCTGAGCTTTGTGCTCATCTCCGGTTTACAGAGGGGGCTATTCATAGCTGCAGTGACCAAATAACTACAGTCATCAGCAGCAGCAGATCTTAGCTGGAGGCTAAGGAGTGATTATAATAATCACTAAGCATTCCATAGGAAACAGCTGAACTATATGTATATAAAAAATATTACACCTGCATAGATCCACATAGCATACCTGAACCAGTGGCTTACGCAGCCCATGTGATTCTCGGCTCCAAGCAGTAGACACTTAGTACAAGTTTGTCTAGGGCAGCCATTCTTAACCAGGGTTCTGTGGAACCCTTGGGTTCCTCCAGATGTTGCTAGGGTTTCCTTCGGCAGTGGGGGATTGACCTCCCACATGTTGGTGTCTGCATAGTGCTGGGACCAGTGTCACTTGGCAGTAACAACTGCATGGCAACAATGGAGGCCCTCCGGTTGTCTCTCAGATCAGTGACCACTAACAGTAAAGATCCTTGTAGTTGTCTGTAAGGGATGGATTTTTCCCACTGACTTTCACTATAAGGGGCACTTTCCAGACTGGCCACCAATGTGATGGGGTATTACACTGAAGTATGTACATCTTCATTTGTTTTCTGGACATTGCTATAATTATTTATTTGAATTTCATAAATATTACTGAAATTAATATTGCCATATAGAGCAGGAGGGGTTAAAAAAATATCTCCCTAGGTGTCAAATACTGTAGGTATGAAACATTTATTTACTGAGGCACAGGGGAACGTAGGCTCCAGGGTTTACCGAGTGCGTCAGCACAGGCTGAGTTGAAATGATGCCCCAGATGCAGACCACAGGGAACCTAGGAATTGAAGTGATTACACGTTACTGGGGGCATGCTGGAGGTGCAGGGTCTAAGGAGTGCCAGGTCTTCACCAGAGTCCCTGAAGGTGGGGATGTTACGCTACAGGATAGCTCCCAGGTTGTGGCCCTCTAACACACACATGCAGGCCTAGATGATAGGCTACTGCAGAGATGAGAAGTGGAACAGTTGCCGCACTGAAGTTCAGGCAGGGGAGAAGTCTGTTTACACACTGCTGATCAGGAGTACAGGATATAGAGGTAATCAGAGAAGGGAGTCCATACTAGGGTTGCCACCTTTTCTTCAAGCCAAACCCGAACACTATAGCGCTTCGCGGCAATTTTTTTGGGAAAGTATACACTATGCATGTATTTTGTAAATAAATTACATTGGAGTTAATCACAACTTGCCAGTGTGCCACACTGCCACAGGTCCCCAGATATGCATTCTGTAGATAAGATGCAAGTGTACAAAGCAGTACCCATATACCTTGCCGCACTTCTTACCAGATATACCAAAAGTAACGGGTGCTGGTAATGACTGCGAATGGCGCTGCTCACAACAGAACAACAATACAGATGTCTCCAGCACACCGGCACCAAGAGCCTGCAAAATCCATTTTATTAATATATATATATATATGGTAACCTGGTAGTAGTGGAGACTGGGGCGGTGCCGGCTATTTGGTCCCAGATGACAGAGCATGGTGGAGACAGAGGATGATTTCGGAGGACCTCCCTGATGTCACTTCCTCGCACCTAGTTCCTGCCGCGGAGGAGAAAAACAGAGAGAGGGACTCGACAAGTGACAGTGGCGGCGCCAGCAGGGAGCCACAAGTCTGCTGCTAATAATGTGCCCGGGTGTGATTCAGAGTCACACCCGAGCACAGGATTTCAAAACCCGGTGTTCTATCAAAGTTTGTGACATGGTTGGAATGTGTGACCGGTCACATGGTCACAAATAATTTTTTTTAGGGTCACACATTTTAACGTAATCCCACCCAGGTTTTTTTGGCGATGAAATCTGTAACTGGCAATAGGTCTCACATTCTACAAAGTTGGATAGAAGTGAGCTGTCCCAGGGCAGATCTGTTCTCCTGCACATACCATCTCTGATGCCGATCTGCCCTGGAAGAGCTCACAAAGCGTTGTAATGCTTGACCTAATGGGTGGTCACACATTCCACCGCCAAAAAACTGGGCGGGATTATGTTAAAGTGTGTGACAACGTGACCGGTCACACATTCTAACGTAGTCACAAATGTTGGTAGAACACTAGACTGTCCAGGTGAATCCCAGGTGGGTGGCAACCCTAGAGACTTTGCATGTCTCTGCGGCAAAAAATACATCCCTTAACCCCCCCACCCCGCAATTTTTTTATTTTACTAACTTTATTTATTAACTGTTTCCACCAGCCACACGTCTACCGCAATGCCCCATTCCTGGAACACAAGGGATCGCATATATATTGTTTCCTTGCGTTCTGGGGTAGGAGAGG